ACCGGTTGCTTGGGAGGCCGAGCGGCCTGGAAGTCACCGCCCAGGAGGCAAGCAGGCCGCTATATCAAGAGGCCGAGGCAAGAGCTCGGCCTCATTCTTCCGTGTGCAAGTTTGGCGACACGCTGCTGGAGCGCTGGCTGGAGTGGCGCTGGGTACTACAGCGCTGCTGGAAGGAAGAAGCCGGGAGCTTCCACCCTGGCTATGGTGGAGCTCTACCAGTAGGAGGAGGAGGGAGAAGGGGACTAAGGAGGAGAGTGGTGAGGTACTTACCTGGCTATGGTAGACACCATCTTCATCACCTTGCTAGGCGCTGCATCAGGAAGGCCCCAATGGGGGTAGTGCCGCATCAAGGAAGCTCGGGACAGAGTCAGGCATGGTGGCTGAGTGGGCAGCGGCATAGCTGCATGGTGACGAACTTGAAGTGTGGCAGCGACATAGCTGCTTGGGGTTGTCCTTTGGACAGGAGGCTCAAGCCTCAGTAGTCCACCATAGCCTCGGCCTGTATGTAGAGGAAGAGGAAGGGTGGTCATGGCTATGGTGGACCTCATGTTGTGCCTGCAGTAGAAGTGGGATTCGGACATTGATTCTGGTTCAGTCATTCAACATTATTATTATTATTTCTTGTTTGAATAAGAGGGGAGGAGATAAGGAGGCAGAGATTGGTTGGCGAAGAAGAAGAGCCTTGTCATTGGTCTATGCTGGAGTACATCATCTCCTTCTTCTTTCTTACTTCTGCTTCTCCTTCTTTCCCTCTCTCTCCTCTCAAGTTCATTCATTTCTTTTTGCAAGTGGATGGCATTGTACTTTCAGATGTTTGTATACTTCGAAATTGGCCAGGATTGTAATAGCTTCCCCATTCCTGGCCATCGATCTTCGCAACCTATGATCAGAACGAAGAATCCGAACATGGGCTTTAATCACGTCCGGATTCAGAACGTTGGCATTTGGCGAGCAGTGCGACAATCGGACCTTGCCCCACTACCAGTAGTAGGCCCCACCGGTTTCCCCAAACATGCGAAAAAAACAAAGGAAAACAAAAAAAATATCAGTTCATTTCTTATCTTCTTCCTTACAACTCCCCCTGTTCAGAACCTCTTGCGTACAAGGCCGGCCACGTGGATATAGGTTGAGCGGCGGCTGCCCCCACCCCCGTGCGTCGTATCGACCCACTTGCACACAGCCAGAAGGCAAAGAGGCAAAGAGGCAAAGAGGCAAAGAGGCAAAGAAAAGAGGAAGGGAACAGCCAAATAATACAGAACAGGGGGCAACAAAACAAATCCCAGATGACAAGTCCCACATGCAAGCACCGCCCCAACTCACAGGCCAAACGACGGGACAAGACCAACCAGGATATCAAAACATTCTTGTCTGCAAAGAAAGCAAAAAGAAGGGCTCCGATCCCAGTGTGACAACCAAAAAGAAAGAGAAGACAATCCCGGATGACGATTCCCACATACAAGCACCGCCCCACGCTCAAAAAGCTGAACAACGGGAAACAATCAACCAGGATGCCCAATAACAGAAGCAAAGCAGACAGGATTCACAAAACAAACATTCTACCATATCCATAGTAAAAAAACAGAACCATTCAGTAGGCCCGCAAAACGCAACACCCCAATCAATAGGGAAGATTAAAGAAAAGAAGTTAAAAAATATTCTCTTCCATAAGAAAAGACAAAGCCTGCTAGTACAGGCCCGACGCTTGCCGCATCATCAGCAAAAGCAGAGAGCTAGTGTGAGGATTGAGCCCTCAAGAAGGGGCCTTGCCATGATGTACATGTTCTGGGCTAAGGCCCCAGCAAGCCTCGTGGCCGCCCTAAGTGAAGGCGGGCCAGCAAATCAACAAGAGCTCTCTGTGCAAACATTTCAAGAAGTGGGGTCCATACAGTTGCAGCACGCCAGTTGGTTGGACTGCACCGAGTATCGGAGCTCTGCAAATGCAGCAACCCAGGGCCCCAGAGTTGGTTAGGCCCTGCGCACATAAACGTGAGGCCGACAATGCATGCTGGATATAGAGGCCGAAAATGCCAATGGGAAACCGGTCCACTATCTGACTCTGGCCGCAGGCCTTGATGAAAGAGGCGCAACTGCAACTCCTGGGCCCCAACCGCATCGGGCCTGGGTACAGGTACTGGGGCCCAGGCACAGGCTCAGGGGAGGCCGCCCACACGCAACACTGGCATATAGGCAGGGAGGGCGAGTGGGCAGGGATCTTGTCCATTGCGGGCAACGCCGGCACGCTGCTGCGTTGCAAGGGGCTGCGCTGCGCTAAGGCTGGGAAGCTGCTGGTAGCGCTATGCCGTAGGGGCGCAGCCAGGGCAGAGGGCGCAGGGCGCTGGCAGCCATAGCCGGGCTGTGAGGTGCGCGCCAGAGGGAGGTGAGGGCGAAGGTGGTTCTTCGGAGGTGAAGGGCGCTGTGTGGGATAACAAGGGAGAGTGAGGGTGAAGAGAGAGACGTACCTGGTGGAGATGGGAGGTCGGCATTGGTGTTGACATCATCACTCGCTGGTCGTCAAGTTGTCTGGTTGCTTTCATACTGTAGTTGTAGTGATAGGCTGTAGAGTAGGTAGGGCGCCTGGCGCCATTCAAGAGAGAGAGCTACATTGGGTTATGCTGTTGGTGTTGCCCTATTGGGCTTGGACATTGACTCACGATTCTTCTGTATCGTTCTCAAATGGATGGTTACTCGGTTCCATTGTGCTATCTACTCTTGCTTTGACTACTTGGACTTAGGTGTGATTTTGCAATCTGGATTTCTGTGCTTCGTCCATATTCATGTTTCTTGCATTTTGGTATCGGAGCTGGTTTGATTCTCCACTTACCTTGGTGCGCTGGCGTTATACAGACTTGGTGCGTTGACGATGCTTCTTCGCAGTTTGTTCTTGTGACGTCAGGCCATATTAGGCGAACGACCTGGGTAGAGAGGTGTGCGCCGGAAGGCTATACGGCATTGGTTGTCGTGGTTACAGCGGAATGTATGATTGGTGATGAGAGCATGCTGATGTGGCATTAGGCTGAGGTGGCACTGCATTGCGTTGTGGGCGGTACCGAGGCTACAACCGGTCATCAAATGCACACTCAGCTCAATTGGTGAGAAATCTGTCGTTGGGGGTAGCTATCTCCAGGTACGTTGTTCCCTTACCTTATCTACTCTCTCAATCTCTTCTTACCGCGAGGAAGTGAGTCCAACTTGAGAGTCCTCTCTTTTGGTGAGGGTGTGCACGCTACCTTGAGAGACGACAATCTTCCCGGAAGCATCTGGAAGGAGAAAGGGCGGTGCCTCTGAAGGGCCCTGGTCGAAGCACTGGGTCACGGTCACCATGCCAACCCAATGGGA